CTATATACTAAATATAAAATTTATTGTAACTATATATCTATATCCTAAATGATGTAATGGAAGGTGACTTCAGAAGTATCCATGAAGTCATTTTTCAACTTTACGACTCTGTAAATTATCAATACAGGGAGAAAAAAGCAGCCCTTGCTGAGTATCTAGCCGGTTCTTCTCAGTACAAGGTCTCCCGCCGTAGTTTTGCGAACCGATGGCGTAGCTTCTTGACCTTCACAAGTGCTTGTAACAGCCTAGACTGAATAATAGACTTTTCATTTCATTTCACTAGTTGCAACTGCAAGTCCTTCAATTCCTGTACCCCTACCCCGTTTACCGTTTTGAGGTGTCTCAGTAAGTGCAAGCGCAGGATGGTCGCTGCCGACCTATGTCGTATATCTGGTTGTATATGGCAATATGGCGATAAGGCACATTATTATGGTTACTAACACGAGTAATATATAATGAAGGTACTAATAAATGAATAGGGTATTTGACAAGTTATAGAAAACGATCTCATGTTATTGACTAATGTTTATGGAGTCCGTAAAAAGTGGATATTCATCATTCTGTTGTGTATTTCAGTAAAAATAACCAAATCAAAAACTCCATTTTCAAGTTGCCTCGAAAACGTTTTTCTGGACAATATGGCGTTTTACTAGTGTGTGACGTCACACGACTGTTATGAAAACGTCAAACGATACAATGTAATGTCACTTTAACCGGAAGTTTACTTGCGTGTGACGTCATTTTAGGCTCCGCCAATAACAAACGTTTTGGGTCACGTGACAATAGATAAAAACTATTATCTTTTTCGTGGGTTTTTAGTAAAATTATGAATATTTTTTTTGTAAAAATAGTAAAAACCCCTGCCAATATTCATTCTAAACACAGATGCTAACAATTGGAAGTTTATATTAAATACTGTCAAATACCCTATTTATTTAGTTACTTAAATATGCCCATGTGTCATATCTTTCGATTACCAGGAATTATTTTTCCGGTGTTATAATAAAAAAGGCTAATTTTTCATAGATCTATTGATTCATACTAATTACATTGTTGGCGGAGCTTGGGCGTGTTTTGCCCATTGTCCTTTGACCTTAAGGTAAGATGGAGCATTAGGGTCAAAAAGAATAAATAAAAAATATGTAAGAATTCTTAGATCACGACGGTCTGAAAGAGACGGCCATTTGAGTTTTGTAAGTATTGCTATTACCGTAGATTGAATATGAATCGAATACAGATGTTAAGAGACCGGACCTATTTGCCAAGAATATCTTTATTTAGGCCAGTATAACATACATCAGCATATTCTATGGATGGAAGGACAAAAGCCTAGATTACAGAGATTTTTGTGTAAACAGGAAGATAATTTTTATTTCTCAACCATGCTTGGAAATGTGATCATTATTTTGACAACCTTCTTCGAGATAAATCAAAGATTTAAGAGACAGTACCCTTAGCATTAACCATTGTCGAATTCGAATAGTTTGCGAGTCCGAAATGTCATTGCCAAATGTGTACTAATTTTTAGTTCTCGTTACGTCCGTTATGGCGCTGCTGTTCAAGTTACCATACAAAATTTGAAAATAACATTTCGGACTCGCAAACTATTCGAATTCGATAATGGTTCATGCTAAGGGTACAGTTAAGGTGTAATAATGTTGGCAGACCTTTAATCTATCTATATATATAAAACTCAAAGGTGACTGACTGACATAGTGATCTATCAACGCCCAGCCCAAACCACTGGACGGATCGGGCTGAAATTTGGCATGCAGGTAGATGTTATGACGTAGGCATCCGCTAAGAAAGGATTTTGATCAATTCTACCCCCAAGGGGATAAAATAGGGAATGAAAGTTTGTATGAAACTTTGTCAATTTTAAACCGATCGGGCTGAGACTTTGCACGCAGATATAAGAAGAATCATAGATGAATGTCATTGTGAATAATACAAGTCTGAGAACAACAACTGTAGTCTACACTTCAGCCGGTAAAAGTTGTATGAAAATCCATATAGGTATGTCGTGTTTAGCGGCCAAATAAGTTATTAATTAAACTCATGTCTGTCGTATTATTTAAAAATGGAAAGATATTTTACCTCGGAACATGGCTCTCCTTTTTGGCATGTATCGCAACCAAGGAGGTAACTTATCAAAGGTTTTATTTAAATTTCGAACTGACTTGCTTGAATAGAAGCTTTTTATTAAAAAAGAACGAATGAGTTATTCGTTGCTTGCCACTGATTTTGAAAATTATGTTATAAAATAAAAAAATCTACCTAGTGTACCTACTTAGTTTTAATTTCCGCGCATTATTTGTGAAAAGTATTATACAAGCCTTGGCCACAACTAGTCATTGATGATTATTTATGTGTACCTCGGCTTCGCCTCGACCCGCATTGACACGTTCGTCCATCAATGCCTCTTTTGCTGTCCCCTGCAGTAATGTACTATATCTATAGTGGGTACGGAGCATATTTCTGACACCCTGACACGTCTGCGTATCAGGTTTTTCGAAAATCTTAGCCTAAGAGAGTAAAAAAGAGGGTGAAAGAATGATGAGAGGAATAGGGGAGAAATGGAGGGGTGACTTTGTATGAAAAATAATATTCTTTGATTTGACTAGACTTAAAACAGACGGACCTACCGTATGGTGCCGAAGTTTTTATATGGATGAATTTGAACGCGCATTTCGATTAACTATAAACTCAGTATTTATTCTTCAGACCTGAAATAAAGAATAACATGTATCTGTGTTTTTTCAAACTCTGCCCCTAACGGGGTGAAAAGGGGTAGTAAGTTTAATTGGATAGTATTTTATTTCGTTGCTTGATCGAATCGGAAAATGGCTGAAAATTTTTCCTTTGACTCAATCCAGGAAATAAACTATATCTGGGCCAAATTTGATCGAAATAGGATTTTATCCAAAGAGGATAAAATTGGGTACAGATATAGTTTAATCCCGAAAAATTTTTAAAACTAAAGTTAACGTAGACCAAGTCGGGGGCGGCCGCTAGTACACATATATAATAACTAGCGGCCCGCCATCGCTTCGCTTCGGTGTAGAGCTGAAGTGTAGACTACAGTTTTTGTTCTCAGGCTTGTATTATACACAATGACATTCATCTATGATTCTTTTTATATCTGCATGCAAAGTCTCAGCCCGATTGGTTTAAAATTGACAAAGTTTCATACAAACTTTCATTCCCTATTTTATCCCCTTGGGGGTAGAATTGATCAAAATCCTTTCTTAGCGGATGCCTACGTCATAACATCTACCTGCATGCCAAATTTCAGCCCGATCCGTCCAGTGGTTTGGGCTGAGCGTTGATAGATCACTATGTCAGTCAGTCACTTTTCAGTTTTATATTATAGATTGTCTACGTTATTTATAAGCTTCATACTTCGAAGATTTTTTATCGTTTCGTTAATGCTCCAACCCAGGCGTTTTAATCTTTAGCCAGGCCCAGATTTAAGGCAGCGCAGGTGGGGCTGTGGCCCAGGGTCTCCCACAAGAGGGGGGCGCCCACAACAGAGATAAAAAAACAATTTTCGACTGGTCATCATCATACCAGGGGTGCAAATGGTCCTGCCCAGATTGAGGGGCCCCCACACCTCTAAAACCAGCCTTGTCCCTAGCTTAATTTTTTATTAGATGAATATTTTATAAATGTCATCATCATCAGCCTATTAATGCACAGGCCTTCCCTATGGATGATAGGGAGATTGGGCCACGACCAACCACGCGGGCCCAGTGCGGATTGTTGGGTGCTAACGCTACAGATGCAGCCGGGACCAACGGCTTAACGTGCCTTCCGAAGCACGGAGCAACTCGAGATAGTAAGTAAATTTTTGGTCACCCATCCAATGACCGACCACTGCGGAGGTTGCTTAACTTCAACGATCGCAGCCGAACGCGCCAATCACATACGCCATCAAGCTCCTCTTTATAGATGTATTAATTGTTAACCTCTTATTTAATTTTATTTGTATCATTTCGTATTCCCTAAACCTACATTAGCATTAAAAAAACATCAACGAACTATAAACAAGATTTATAATAATTATAATAATACTAGCAAACCTGTGAACCAAATGTGCACCAAAAAAAAAAGTATTTAATTAATTGAGAACTTCGGAGATTTTGTGTGGTTTCGTTTGAAATAGAAATCACGTGATTTCTCGAAAACCGGAAGTGCTACGTTACTCACATCCGGTTTGTAGTCTTATCAGACTATTCTCAACTTATAACTTAAACATTCTCTATATCTATCTCTTACGGTTTGGCCGCTGAAACAGCACCACGGACGGACGGACGGACGGACGGACGGACTTGTCTAATAGATAAGAGATTCGTCGTCAGAATAAAGATTGAGTTGTAGATTTTATAAGCCTACTCCTTCTCAAAGAAAGCTTCAATTTCATAGTTTATCGTTAAAATTAATATAACCTTAAATTGGTGAAATTAAATTTCGTTTGAACTTTTTTATCGCTTTCGTTTTTCGTTTCGGAGATAGAGAGTATACCCCCAGGTACCTATAATTACAGTTTCACACATATAGAATTCTAGAATTCTATTGAACACTTATTTATTTTATTTTATTTAATTATTTATATCAAATACTTATATCTATTATAACAGGTATATACCCAAGGCATTAGATACATCCATTTAAGAAATACATTATAATACACATTAACAATGAACAAACACATTGGAAAAAATAAATAATTGAAACCGATAATCCACTCAGCTTGTTTTTAGGCATGTTCAAAGCAACATGTAGTTAGATTAATTTTCACACATAGGGTGCAGATTTTTTACTTCTTTATTTTTATCAAGGGGCTTTATCAGTTTATGATTTAAAAACACTTATTTATCACACCTCAAACATAAACAGAAATGCCTAAATTACAAAATCAAAACATAATGCGGCTTATATACTCGTAATTGTTGGTAGTTTTAATAATAACATATAACATTTCTTAAACTTGGACGTACCGATCAGATGAGCCGCTCCGGGTCTCAATACGTCTCCAAGCAAATCTTTAATCAAAAACGACTTGTGGCTGTCTTGCATCTTAGAATCCATTGCACTCAGACGACCGTACAAACTCCCTTGCCGATCAGGGCAACATTTATTTAAAAAAAAACTTTTTATTTTTTTTAATTTAAACTTTCTTTGATATAAAAAAATCACACAAGCCGTAAACGAAATATTTATGTCGTATTAAATATTGTTCAGATTCTGTTGTAGAAATTACAACGGCTTAACTTTGTTAAAATGAAAACAATTGAACGCTACCAATCTGCACTTTCCCGCGCATCCGTGATGACTGTCCGCCATGTTCGAAAAGTGTCGTTCATTCGAGAAAATCTTTTCATTTAGCTACGCCCTACCGTAACCGATGTTACATACATTTTCTTGCGGTTTTAGGCCAAAATACCGCTTAAACGGCCTTAAATCGCGTTTAGCATGCGCAGAGTGGAGCGAGGCGGGGCTCCGGACTCCACCCTCCGTATTTTCAACCAATAGAGGCGAAGGCAAAAACTTTTACAGCCGAATGCTCTGTAAAGTACGCATTGAAACGGGGGCTCAGACCTGTAGTTATTGAGTTGGTTTTTAAAAGACCGTTTTGAATGTAAATCGAAAAGTTAAGCGGAGTAAAGAGGCTGCCCGCCGATCTCCAATTAAATTGATAGTTGCTTGTCGAGTGTCTGGAGTCAGAATTCGTATCCGGGGCACTAAAGTTATTTCGTATACCTACGTAATCTGTTTAATAAAATCTGTGCGGTAGTTTTTTCGAACTCTTTTCTGTTTTTTACGAATTGTTGTGTTGTGATGTTTCTCTTCCATTCTCAATAACTTCACTTTTGTTTCAATTAGTATCTACCATGACCCATGTTGTTAAGTACTTCGTTATTAACTGAGTTTTAAGTTTTTCAAATATACATATCATAAGTGTAAAATAGTATTTTAAAAATTGGTGGCATTGTGAGCTGGCGTTATCAAGGTGGAAGACGTTTTCAGTTACAGGGTTTTTAGTTATTGAAGTTATACTTCTTTAGCCGCGTTATGAAAAAATTATGAGAGTGAAATTTTAAAATGCGCGCGCATCACTGTAACACAAAAGTAACATAATGAAGTTTACCGCGGGCGCGTTATGAAAAAATGATGAGAGTGAAATTTTAAGATGCGCGCGCATCACTGTAACACAATAGTAACACCATGAAGTTGGCCGCGGGCGCGTTATGAATGTTAGTGTCTAATAATGGTGGATTATTAACCACTTAGTGGTTAATAATCTGTTCGAAAGGTACTTTGAACGATCCACGGAGCTCCATAAGATGATCGCGTTGTCAAAAACAATGTTGGCACGCTCGTCGCCTCTGATCACTGTTTTCATATTTATAATATTTATTCACATGTTTCTAGTTTCTATATAGACACAACGTGTTTTAGTTACTTACAAGTGCTAATTACATATGGACTAATAACTTAAATTCAGTAGTGATTTTAATTGAATATTTTGAATATTTATTTAATTTTTCAAATTAAAACTGAACTTAATTGACTGTGATAACTATCCTTTTCCAGTCCTTTTATTATTTTATTGCAATTATTAATTATTTGCATGCAATTAAAAAATATTTTTAATGATGCTAAAGAAGTATAACTTCTCACGCGCGTACATAAGTTACACGCATCCATTTTTTTTTATTTAGTTCCTTCTTAACTTTCAGCGAACAACTCTCTCGCCACTGTGCTTGGCATTGGCTTCAGCTCACCATGAAAGCCCGAAAGAGTAAGACTCAAGTATAGTGCATTGCGTTTGTAAATTAATATTTCGTCACCTGTCGAGGCGAGCGCGAGGATTGCGTCGACGCAGGCATACTGCCAATGCAATCCTTGCATAAGATGTCCTCCCCCCTAGCATGAGCACCGCGATATAATAAATAACGCGTTTTATCACACTCAGTGCCGTCTTTGACCTATTGGGGGCCCTGGGCATATTAGGATTATGGGGCCCCTATGACCCCCGTTTGGTGATTTTCCCCCTATGGATCGATAGGGGGGGCCCTATCGATCGCGGGGCCCTGTTCAAATCATCATGAAATGTTCGATCAATTAAATGTTCGGTCACACTCAATAGGGATGATGACTAATTTTTTTTTCTTCGTTTATCAGGTAGATTATCAAAAAATAATGGACACATATTTTTTCTTTGGGCAATCAACCAAAAAATGACAAAGTTATAGCGCGTCAAAGTTTGGGAGTAGGGGCTCGTGACGTCACTTTTGAGTGAATTTTCACTTATAAGTGTACTCAAACGTGACGTCACGAGCCCCTACTCCCAAACTTTGACGCGCTATAACTTTGTCATTTTTTGGTTGATTGCCCAAAGAAAAAATATGTGTCCATTATTTTTTGATCATCTAACTGACGGACTAAATAGAATTTCGTTTACTGTACCCCGTCATCATCCCTATTGTCAAATTATTATGGAGTTTGACAGTGAAACACGATAAAACATGTGTTAGCTATAATGTAAATTGTCATGCTACGGGGACTGATGACAATCTGGCTCAATAGCCAGAAAAAAAGATGGGAGATGAGGAATCAAACAGCTAGATAGCTAAGAGCATTCTTTATTACTATTTATATTTTATATACTAATTTTCTTAACTAATAGTCATGCGCGTCAGCAGTAAATTGTGAGTTCGGTGTGTTATAGATTCAAAATATAAGCAGTCGTTATAGAAAGTCGCTATAGATAAACTAAGCCAAAGGGTTCTCTTAGAAAATTCCTACTATCATACAAGGGCGGATCCAGGGGGGGGGGGGGGGTCATGGGGGTCATGACCCCCCCCCCCCCCTGGGCTGGGTACAGATAGACCAAACCCAGGGGGATTTTATTTAAGTACTTTCAATATTTAATATACTGGAGGATCAGCTAAATAAGCTTGAGCGACTTCAAAACTTTTGTATCCGCTTCATATTTGGCTTGCGCAAATATGATCACGTTTCTCAATTTCGTTCGCAGCTCAAGTGGCTACCTATTCGTCTTCGCCGGAATACTCATATTCTTGATCTCCTTTACAACATATTGTTCAATCCTAAGTCCCCGCGCTATTTTAAGGAATGTTTTAATTTCCTTCATTCTTCTAACATCGTCATCCCTTATGTCATCAGAAAATCTTACTCTCATGACTCCTGTACACGACACACCTTTTATAGCCGTTCGTTTGCAGTACGTGCCGTACATCTGTGGAACTCTCTCCCACTTATCATCAGACGTGCGGAATCCATTCACGCTTTTAAAAACCTTGTTAAGTCCTATTATCTGTCCTTATAAAACTTTCGATTATATTTTTTTTTGTGATTACTACCTACTGAACTAGATTTGTTTATTGTTGTGTATGTATCTATTTATTTTATATAAGAGTATATATATATATATATATATATATATATATTATTTTTATTAATATGTATGTATATATTATTACCTATTTCACTCAAGTGATTTACACCGCCTTCTCTCCAACTTCCTTCTAGTCCTCTCCATCCAAAGGTTGCCTGGAAGATATCGCTCTTAGCGATAAGGCCGCCCATTGATACACTAGTTTTAATTTGTTTTGTACTAAATGTAATGTTTTTTGTGGTGTACAATAAAGCGTTTTGTATTGTATTGTATACCACGACTATATGACCCCCTCCCCTGGCGCCAAAGCTGGCTATATGACCCCCCCCCCCTGGCGCCAAAGCTGGCTATATGACCCCCCCCCCCCGGCGCCAAAGCTGGCTATATGACCCCCCCCCCTGGCGCCAAAGCTGGATCCGCCCTTGTTATCATATCAGCACATTTTCCGTTCAGGCACGAGGAAGATTTTGCAAGTCGATACCGCATACAGCACATCTGGTGCGCTGCCTAATTACAGTACCCTTAGCACGAACGAATAGTTTCCGAGTGCGAAATGTCACTGTCAAATGTGTACCAAGTACAAGTTTCCATACAAAATTTGACAATGATATTTCGCACTCGCAAACTATTCGAATTCGATATTGGTCCGTGCTTGTGGTACTGTACCCCTAGCACAAACCATTATCGGATTCGAATACCCCGTTTCATGATGTCGCCGACTCGAGAGATCGCGAGTTCGAATCCCGGTGGGAGCAGATGTTTGTGTGATGAATACGAGCATTTGTACTCCATTCATGTATGTTTGATATGTCTATCTTAATATATATAAATCTCGTGTCACAATGTTTGTCCTCAATGGACTCCTAAACCACTGAACCGATTATAATAAAATTCGCACACCATGTGCAGTTCGATCCAACTTGAGAGACAGGATAGTTTAAATCTCAAATTATAGTCGCAATTTTAATTTATTGCAAATTATTACTTTTGGGCGGTACGAAGTTCGCCGAGTCAGCTAGTATAAAGATATTTATATAAGTACAGTATATGTATTCTATCCGTTACCCTAGTAAATTGTGGTTCTCATGATACAGGGACAGAGCCATTTTCTAATGACATGATATCAAAATAAAAAAATCGTTAGTTCTAATCATCAATCAAAAGTTGAATTACCACTTCAAACGTGAAAGATAGTTTGCAATTAGATATTAAATCGGTTTACTTTCAATTCGCTAAATTATGTACCTATAACTTAGCTTTCACTTTAAGGAAAAATAATACCAAAAAATATAAATTTCATACACAAAAAGCATATTGAAATGTCATAAGTACACAAATAAGTCTCTATTTAATTGCATAATTACTCTATATATAAATACTAGAACAATGAAACTAAAACTAAAAACCTTAAAAAATAAAATTAGTAGCTAAAATATATTATTAAAAGAAGTCCCTTTAGGCAAGGATCCGAAGATACTGGCAGGGTTACCCCTTTGAATGGCTAGACTAATTCTTTGTCCGAGGTTGCTGCCAGCTCTTCGGTCTCCTGTGATGTCGACTAACCTTTTTGCTATTTCCTTAAATAGCCTTAAAGCGCTAGGACCCCACGGACCAAGGGTCTCGACACATGTACCTAGGTACATTTTTTAACTAATGTCATATTATT